TTGAACCCACACCCCCTCCAATGGAAACACAGAGTCTTAATCACTGGACCACCAGAGAAGTCCCCACTCGTACTTGTTTTTCAAGTCTCGTATTTTTCCTCGATTTCTCTAAATTCAATATAAGCTAGACATTTTCTAATAAAAGTCACTGAAAATCTAAAACCTTTCAATGATGATTATATAATGATTCATTGAATGAATCTGAGAGATGAAAACAAAACAGCCCCTGACATGTGGAAGCTGGCATGGCACTCAAACTAAGCCAATGTTATTCTCCTCTAGGATATAAACCAATCACAGAATACCATCCTCAAATGAGGTGTCTCTGAGACTATGGGTAAAGTAAGACAGAACAAGGCCCCTGCATAATTTTGTTTAGACAGACAAAAATAAAGTAACTGTGCCACCCACATAATACCAAGCATCATCCTCTTGGCTAAAAGAGTGACTGCTACTTCTTTACGACTTTAGACTTTATCTTCATTTTGTCTGCTCTCCCAAAGCTTTCTGACAGCATCCAACCTAGAGCGAACCCTGCTTCCTTAGGCTCTGTCCCAAAACACCCAACCAAAGCCCCAATCCTGTAACAGATTGAGCAGGGACATTTCCACATGGCAGGGTGGAGATGCAAGGGCTTCTCAGTCCTGTTGTCCCTTGGCAGTACCAGTTCCCTGAGTGAAAAACTGAGCTGCTGCCTACCCTCTGGCCACATGGGGACAAACAGGATATACATAAGCTTCCTGTTACCAGGGAGAAGCTGGTGCAGTGGGTGCGGATAGAAGTCTGAGAGGTGACTCCTAAAAGAGAAGGAGACTATATCCTACCCAGGCTTTTGACCAAGCTCAAACTCCCTTGTGTGCAACTCGCCAACTCCCATGATGTCCCAGGGATTGCAGTGTCTGGAAGAAATACAAGGGTCCTGCGCAGGAAGCTCTATCTAGTCCAGGTCACTCACAACTCTCATTTTTGTGCAGTATCAAACAACAGATGGCTTTACTGAAACTTTGAGATAATCTCCTCCCTGAGGGAGAAATTTAAAAATTGAAGGACACATAAGGACAGAAGCTAGTAAAATCCCATGCTAACTGGATGCTACATCTTATTTAAGGGGACATTGCAGATTCAAATGTCTCCAGCCAAATAACATACTTATGGATGGGATCAAGGTCTCCGTGTCTTCAACAGAGACAGTGGCCCTATTCTCCAAGATAAAAGGGGGAAACAGGAATTAAGACTTTTCTGGGAATCCTGGACGCTGCATCCCATATGGTAGTTTTTCTAGGCCTCTGTAGGTCTAAAGATTAAACTGGTGACACTGGGCTTTGGGGATGAACCTGGTACCCATAGTGCTTATGTGCTTGTGTGGCCTATGTGCCTGATGAGGTTGTGGGTGTGATGCTTTGGGACATTTTAGGTGCCAGTCACTGTGGTTTCCATAGGCAAGTGCAATGTGGGCACTGACATTTTGGCTGCTTTTGGCTCAGAATGACTCCAGCTCCTGAGTGAGTATGCTACCTCAAAGCAAAGAATTCAAGCCATAACAGTGACTCCTGCCTGCCACCTAAATTACCCAATCCCCAGTGGGCTTTTCAATAAAAGCAGTGCTACATACAAGGCCAAACCATGGATAAGCTAAAATGATTGCCCTACACCTCAAAATATGCATACTTTCTCCAACAAGATTTTATTCACACTATCTCAAGCCACTGTACTACGAAAGTAGTGTTAAAAAAAAAAAAAAAAAGAACTANAGTCCATGAGGTCACAAAGAGTCAGACACAACTGAGTGAGTCAACAACTGGTTTAATTCTCAAACCACTGAACTACTGAAAAGGAAAAGTTAAAATTGTATATAACTCCCTGCTCGTTCTGCCTGGATAACTCAGCTTCCTCCTTGCAAAGTCTGGGTTACGTAGGTCATGTAGTCTCAGAAAGGGGGGACTTACAATACTAGGAAGTGGAGGTTATCTCACTCATCTTGTCCTGCTCTTTGCAATTGCCCAGCCCCTGCAAACCTGCTTAATCATGCCTATCCATGTAAAGGTACGGCATCCCCCTCCCCATCTTGACAGCTCTTCTTGCGTGTTCAAAACCCCTGATTTTAAACCAGCCTGTTAGCAGCTAGTGTTGCGCACTATAGTTTGTCTATAAAATCTCTGTAACCCCTTTGTTTGGGGCTCAGAGCTTGGAGTGTTAACTCCTCTGAGCCCACCGGTATAATAAACCTGAGCTCTCCAACTCTCGCAGTGTGGTGCTTGGTTTCATGATTCCTGGTTTCTGCAACACTACGAAGGTAGTACTTTTTTTTTTTAAGGCCTAAAGTGGACTCATTGTCACACACACACACACCACAGCAGCAAATCAAGACTTTGTTTCAGTTTTCATCTTTCATAGAAATGTAATCTTAATCAACTAGGTTGGTATTTTATGGTCAGCACTAAAATCTCCATCCCCCAAGGAACAGGTATCTGCACTATAAAGCCCTTGCCATTCCCATCCCTCCCCAAAAAAGATGTCATGAGCTAAAATTATCCTTTCTTTTCTTTAACTAACAATTCCTTTGCCCAACTCTTTTTCTTAAGGAAAAAAGTGTCCATTTTGAATAACCCTCGTATGGTGACCAGTTCACAAACTGCTTCATAAAGGCAAATTAGATGTTTAAATTTACCCATTGGAATTTTTTTTGGGGGGGGGGTGGCCGTGCAACGAGCGGCTTGTGTGATCTTACCCCCCCGACCAGGAATCCTACCCAGGTCCTTGGCAGTGAAAGTGCGGAGTCCTAACCACTGGACCAACAGGGAATTGAATCTTGATGTTTAAGAGTAGTAACCTCATCCCAAACTTACGGAAAGCCGTCAGAGAAGGAGAAATTTAATTCATCCTGTGTTCTACTGCGGCAAATGACAGAGTAAGATGGACAGCGCGCAGCCTGGGAGGAGGATCCTCACGGGGAGAAATCTGGAGACCCTCCAACTAGACCAAAACTTACCAATCCACATCCGGGAACGGAGAGGCCTCAGCCCAAAGGAACCACCTTCCACGCCCCACCCCTCAAACCACTGCTCTCTGAAGCAGCTCTTGCCCCCAAATCGATGACTGGGTTAGACAGGTTCCCAAACAAGTTCCCACGGGTCGCAAAATGCAGAAACCAATCACCGGTGCCAGGTAGGAGAGGGGGATAACAGGACCGCCCAAAGCATAAGTTCCGCCCAGAGAGGAAGCTACGCCCAGAGCGGAAGTTCCACCCAGAGGCTGCTCTGGAGACACACTTCCCACAATTCCCTTGTCGGGGTCGCGCCTGTGCGAAAGTGTCCGAGAGGATACCGAACTTGTTGACTACACTACTCAGAAAGCCAAGTGGGCATAACCCCCGAATTCTCAGAAGGCCTGCCATCTGAAGCCCGCCTTGCAGGAGACCGACGTTCTATCCTTGGGTCGGGAAGATTGTGTGGAGAAGGAAATGACAACGCACTCCAGTATTACTGCCTGGAGAATTCTATAGACAGGAATCTGCCGAGCTATAGTCCTTGGGGTCGCAAAGAATCGGACACGGCTGAGCGACTAACACTTTTCATTCTTTCCACTGGACATATTTAAGACCCTTCACAGATGTTGGACTATAGTTTCCACAATGCCCTTGCAGGCAAAGTTTATGCAGTCGACTTCCTGGGCAGTAAGGTGGATTCCTTCTAGAGGCGAGTGTTACCCTCTCCTGAATCCAGGAGCGGGGACTATTGTATGTTGTTTAAGCTACTGTTTGTAAGCAAAACTACATAGCATTTCAAAGTTTAGTTCAAACTCCAGTGATGGACTTCAGATTCTCGGAAAGAACATCGCACACGGTGAAGGCTCTAGAAACTGCACGTTTGGAAATCTACATCAAATTGTTGATAACAACACATTAAGGTTGTATTATAGGGACTTCCCTGCTGAGTCACTGGTTAAAATTCCAGGCTTTCACTGAAGTGACTTGGGGTCAATGCCTGGTTGAGATTAGAGATCGTACAAGTGTGGTGAGGCAAAAAACATACAAAGCTCAAAAGTGTATTATAACCTTCATGGGCCCAAGAGAACACAGTAATTTGGTTGATTCTTTATTGTGTCTCTCATATGAGTCTGAGTCACCTAAATCAATGACTCAGAGACTTTCGTGGTAGCTCAGTGGCTAAGATTCCGGCTTCCACTGCAGAGGGCCTGGGTTTGATCTGTGCTCAGGGAACTAGATCCCAGAAGCCCGTAATAAAGATTCCGCATGCCGCAAGAGTGAAGATTCCGCGTGCCACCAATAAGACTTGGCACGGCCAAATAAATAAATATTGTAAAAATATTAATTCAAATGGATCATAGACCTAAATGTAAAACCTGAAACTGTGCAGCTTTTAGAGCAGGAAAAAAAGCAGGGGCAGAAAAACCTTTGTGACATTAAATTAGGCAGAGTTCTTATATCTGAAACCCAAAGCACAAATCACACAAGACAAAAACTGAAGTTCATCAAAAATTTTAAAAACTTAAATGCTCTGTGAAAAATACTGCTAATGGGGCAAAAACAAAAACCACACACTGTGACAAAGTACCTGCAAAACACATGAGAAAGGACAAGTGTCCACAACATATAAAAAACTCAAAAATAAAGAAAAAGAAAACAGTTCACCAAAGAAAATAGGTCTATGGTTATCAAACATTCATGTATAAAAATGCTCAACTTAGTCATTAGGGAAATGTAAATTAAGAGCAACATGAGAAACCACTACTACTGAAATGCTAAAAAATAAAATCCTAGTATGCACTGGTGGTGGGAATGCAAAATGGCAAAGCCACTTTAGACACATCTGTTTTTCACAGTTAGATATATTCTTACAAGCCAACAATCCCACTCCTAAGTATTTACCAAAAAAAGAAAACCTGTGTTGATACACAAATATTGTCAGACATATCTAGTTAATACACCATATAGAAATTATCATACTTGCTGCCACTGGAGGTGGAACTGACAAGAACAGTACACAAGGAAACATTCAGGTTTAATAGAAATGTGGTATATATTGATTTTGGTGATGATTATACAAATAGATACATTTGTCAAAATTCATGAAGTTGTAAACTTGAGATTTATGCATGTGCTTCCATGAAAATTACACGTCAATAAGGAACTGTTAGCATACAAAATTGCTGGCCACACACAACCTGGGGATTCTGTACCCATTATTGGGTTATGACCTTCAGTTTGATAAGCACTGGTTCAGAAGACCTGCAGGGTTTGGACGATGACCCCAATGTCTAATCGAATCCTCCAAGCCTTGGAGAATTCCTCTGTTTACAAGTTTATAGAAAATTTTAGAGAGGAACTGAATAAAAAATTCAAAAGTGACTGTTCTCCCTTTCACTTTTTTCACATTGCCATACACCTGCAGTGTGGTAGGCACTGAAGAGGCAGAGTGAACTTGCTGTAAACAAAGTCTATGCCTTCTGGGAGCTTCTACTCTAGTGGAAGAGATTTGGGCATTTCTGTCTTAGTACTTTTGGTTGCCTCCAGATTGGACCCATCCTTCCCACGCCTCTCATCCGTGTAGTTATCTGCTAAATGTCAAGGTTCTGAATTAAGTTCTCTTTCTCCACGCTCACGAGGCTTCTCTGCTATGTGGTCACCCAACCACCATGACACTTTATGAGTTCTGGAGAAAATAAATGTTTTGTTTTCTGTGACAGGACTATTTCAGCACACATGTGAGATATTAACACATGCAATTTTATAGAGATTCTCTGCTGTATGTATTCTCTGCTGAGGCAAAGTCCTTGTCACCCTCATCCCCAGCATGGACTCGCTGATGAATTGTAAGACTGGAGCTCCAACTGAAGCCTTTCCCACACTCCTCACATTTATATGGTTTTTCCCCTGTGTGGACTCTCTGATGGGCCTGAAGGTATGAGCTCCAACTGAAGACCTTACCACACTCCTCACACTTATATGGTTTCTCTCCAGTGTGAACCCTCTGATGGGCTTGAAGGTATGATCTCTGTCTGAAGCGCTTACCACACACATCACATCGGTATGGTTTCTCTCCTGTGTGGACTCCACGATGAGCCAGAAAATTCGAGGCCCGACAGAAGCCTTTCCCACACTCCTCACACTGGTAGGGTTTCTCTCCAGTATGGCACCTCTGATGGGCCTGCAGCTGTGAGCCCACACTGAAGCCTTTCCCACACTCTGCACACTGATATGGTTTCTCTCCAGTGTGGACTCTCTGATGCACTTGAAGGCTTGAGAACTGACTGAAGGCCTTCCCACACTTCTCACATTTATAGGGCTTCTCTCCTGTGTGGATTCGACAATGAACATTAAGATCTGAACTCCGGCTGAAGCCCTTACCACATGTACCACATTTGTACGGTTTTTCTCCAGTGTGGCCTCTCTGATGGGCCAGAAGATTTGAGGCCTGACTGAAACCTTTCCCACACTCCTCACATTTATATGGTTTCTCTCCTGTATGGACTCTAAAATGAATGTTAAAATCTGAGCTACGACTAAAGCCCTTTCCGCATGCATCACATTGATAGGGTTTCTCACCACTATGGCCTCTCTGATGGTCCAGAAGATTTGAGGCCCGGCAGAAGCCCTTCCCACACTCCTCACATTTGTAAGGTTTCTCTCCCGTGTGGCTTATCTGATGGGCCTGGAGGTGGGAACCCACACTGAAGCCTTTCCCACACTCCTCACACTTATACGGTTTCTCACCTGTGTGGATTCTACAATGGATGTTTAGGTGTGAGCTATAACTGAAGCCCTTGCCACATGCATCACATTTGTAAGGTTTCTCCCCAGTGTGGATTCGCTGATGAGCCTGCAGGCGTGAATGCCAACTGAAGCCCTTCCCACACTCTTCACATTGAAAAGCTTTCTTTTCCGTATGAACTCTCTGATGGACATGGAGATAGGAGCGCTTACTGAAGCCCAGCCCACATTCCTCACATTTATAGGGTTTCTCCAATGGGTGGGCTATCAGAGGAGCCTGAAAATGTGAGATTTTTCTGATGTTCCTCCCACACTCCTCTAATCTGAGTGGATTCTCTCCAGTGGGGACTCTTTGATGTTGATGAAGATATGACCTCTGACTAAAACCTGTATGTGACGTCTCATGATTATTCAGTTTTGCTCTACTGTGGACTCTCTGATGGGCTTGAAGACTTGAAAACCGACGGAAGGTGTTTTCACATTTTTCACATTTATAGGGCTTCTCTCCTGTGGAGGCTGTCTGGTTCATTTGAAGGTGAGAGCCCCATATGAAATCCTTCCCACACTCCACCCCTTCATAGGGTTTTCCTCCAGTGTAGTCTCTGCACTGAACTTGAAGATGTGAACTCTGAGTGAAGTCTTTACTGAACTCATCTTTATAGAGTGTGTCATTTTGTTTTTCCAATTGAGAACCAATTCCTTGAATAATTTCCATGGAATCTCGACACCTGGTTAATTCCTCTGTAACTTGTAGCCAGATTTTTGAGCAGAAAAACTCTTCGTGGGGCAGATACCTTAATCCAACTTCTCCAAGAGTCTCTATGGCATTTAGATTCTGATTTCCTAAGAGGATAAAGAAAATTAAGAGATGGGGCATATGAGTGCTTTGCTCAGAGATGCCAAGGTTATAAACTTTCGCCCACACCCTAAGGCCTTATGGGGACATGAAAAACTTCTATTTTTCTTCAGCATCATGTATCATTTGCATACCTCCAGACACTGAGAGCTGTTCCACCAGGCTCCCTTTCACTACTCATTAGTGGGATCCATTCAGAATCATAGTAAGTTTCATAAGTGAAATATAAATTAGAGATCTAATAGCTACAGAGCAAAAAAAAATACCTCCTAGGGAATGTTTACCAAGACGAGGCTGCATGTTACTCAAGCCTTACTTTCTCTGCTGCAACAAGTGTTTAATAAACAGCTTTCACATAATTGCACATCTGATCCAAGTGCTCAAAAGCTCAAGTAAGACCCTTACTGACAGATTGTCAGAAGACATCCCCAGGCAGTGTTATAAACTTTTGCTTTATTAGAAGTTTTCTCCACTGGCAGGAGCTTTGGAGGCCCTGGTAGGTTGGAAAGATACATGTTTGGAAGAAAATAATTTATCACCTAAGGGCCTAAAGTTCAGAGAATAAGCAGATAGAGTGCTCTTTTGTTTCCTGCTGGGAAATATCCTTCATGAAGACAATATGCAGAGAAGTTTACTATAATAACATACACTATTCTAAAACTTCACATCAGAAAACTTCCTACAGCTTCCATTGGGGAAATAAAAAAGACTGAAAAATTAGACGATAACCTAATTTTTACAACAGAGTAAGACCTTGCAAGGAGGAAACAAACAGGGCGGAATATAGATTTTAAAAGTCAGTATTGGACAGGAAGTTACATTCTCCTTGGAACTCTGTTCCACCAATTAGTCATATAGCTTGCTACCAACTTCTTTTCAGGTGTCATAAGTAATGCCTTATCGGTGATGCCTCTTTTATTACTACACAATATCATATACTAAATTCTCCCTATGTATTCTACATTCCTGGAAATTCCCATTAGCCATACGCTGTCTTGTTTTTACATAGCATATATTCCCATCTGACATACTGTATACATTGTACAGGGCCGAAGGGCCAGTGACTACCCCGAGCTCCTAGACTACACTTCCCATAATTCCGTGGGGAGACATTCGCAGTCCAGCCCTATGATAGCTGCAGAATGCGAGCCTACACGGATCTTTGGACTACACATCCCAGAATGCAAAGGGAGTGCGTGTGGGCCCTCCACACTACCGCCCTCTTGGACTACACTTCCCACGAAAGTCCGAAGGTCTCACCCCCCGATGAGGAAGTGGCCAGTTCCCCTGGGTTTTCACTTCCCTTAACCCCTAAGGTCTCAGGCAAATGTCTTGCCAGTCTACCGCATCAGCCTTAGAACAGGGTTATAAGCTTAGAAGCACTTTAGACGTGTCCAAGGGCCTAAGTGACATAAATGCATTACCAGCCACAGAGGATTCCTGGTAAACCCTAGATTTACTGTTGAAATAAGAGGAGAAGGAAACTGGGCTTTCTTTGGAATGGGCTTAAGTCAAAAGTCAAAATACCTCAGTCCCTGAAATGTGACCAAACATGCTTTGTCCTTACTGGTTCCACATCTAGAGGGTCCTCTGTTGTAATTCTGTGTTCCCTCCTCATGCACATCTTTTCAACAGGAAAAATGAAAGTCACTCAATCGTCTCCGACTCTTTGCAACCCCATGGAGTATACAGTCCATGGAATTCTCCAGGCCAGAATACTGGAGTGGGTAGCCTTTCCCTTCTCCAGGGGATCTTCCCATCCCAGGTTTCCCACATTGCAGGCGGATTCTTTACCAGCTGAGCCACATATGTAAAGAATCTGCTGGTGATGCAGGAGATGGGGTCAATACCCTGGTTGGGAAAATCCCCTGGAAGAGGGCATGGCAACCCACTCCAGTATTCTTGCCTGGAGAATTCCATGGACAGAGGAGCCTGTCAGGATACAGTCCATAGGGTCGCAGAGAGTCAGATACCACTGAAACAACTGAGCACACATATCTACTTCTTTTCCAGCTGCTGAATTTGCGCTCCCCATGTTATGTATTTATAAAGTACAGCATAAAGATTCAATGGTTGAAACACCAATTTATTTGTGCATGAAAAACAATTTTTTTTTTTAAATTTTGAAATTGGCTTCTGGGATCCCATCATAATTTTGATCCTTATATGTCTTATGAAAATATAGAACAATCATATTATGAGGTGTTAACTACAAGGGATACTTAGTAGCAATTTTTACAAATTCCATTGTAATTTCCTGCTTTTATAGTACTGCTACTGCTAAGTCACTTCAGTCATGTCCAACTCCGTACGACCCCATCCCTGGGATTCTCCAGGCAAGAACACTGGAGTGGGTTGCCATCTCCTTCTCCAGTGCATGAAAGTGAAGTCGCTCAGTCATGTCCGACTCTTCTCGACCCCATGGACTGCAGCCACCAGGCTCCTCTGACCATGGGATTTTCCAGGCAAGAGTACCGGATTGGGTGCCATTGCCTTCTCCGTTGATAGTACTAGTCAATGAAAAAACTGTAACATGAAATTAGAAACTGAAAAAAATACCACAAAATGCTCCTAAGTAAAACCACTATGGAAGAGTATCCCTTGACATATGATCTTATGCATGTCTACATACAGATGTATGTGTGCATGCACACATACACACACACACACAGATTCAATTATACTCTGAAGGTTACAATCTGTGACCTCTCAAAGCCCATATTGTGTATCTCTTGCCATTATATTTGCCAGAAGTTTAATGGCTTCAGATTAATATAAAAATACAGCAAAACTCAAATTTCTGCAGCTGTACACTTATTTCCATTTAAAAAAATTCAGTGACTTCACTGATGTGGAGCTTATCTTTTTCATATATTAATCTCATAATCTAAAGCATTCAATTATATGATTTTTAGATCAAAGAGATGTATAACCTATATACTGATAACTACTCCTTTCCCAAAACCATGCTTTACTGCTACCAACAGGTCAAAGGACATAAACGTCAGTCTTGCCTCAATAATACATTTAATAATTTTATCAAATTCCTACAAGTTTCCTGGGTATTTTCCTCATGGATGTGGGTGACGAATATAGCATAGCCTCTACCTGAGAAATTTTGACAGAAGAAATGCTACAGTTCTTAGTAAGCAAACATTTCAAAGTGTGGATAAAAATGAGGGAATTAGAAATAGGTAACTTCAAGGTCGACCAATAAAATTTTTTCTAGTGACAATTTTTGTGACATTTTCAAAATGTTACAGTAAATCCTGCCTTAACATTGAGTGACTCACAAAAAATCAATTGTACAGTTACCTATTGTTGCAAAGTTAGTAACATTTTCAGTTTGTACTGTCAGAAAAAAAATCAAAAGACAGTTCAATTTTATATTAGACTCAATCCTTGGAAAACTAGACAGGGCCTCAGACAATAACCTTACTTGAGAACAGAGGCTGTGGGAGGCAAGGAGCCAGTTGCAATAGGCTCATATCATATTAATACTGCAGATTATAATATCAAGTGGTTTTCTGTACTTCAACAAATGATCACTTCCTGAATTAATTTTACTTGGTAGCTTTCCTCCTCTGAAACAATTTTCA